AAGGGAAAAAGCAGAGGTCGGGTAGAGTGGAATGAAGCTGTCAGAAATGTAGGTGATTTCAAATGTCTGCATTACAGCAGATTCCACGGTTCCCTGTTAACCATCATGTTTTCCCTCAGAGTACAGGGATGGTTTTTGTAGAGTTCATAATGTGTTACATGCGTGTGGACACAGTTGGTGGAGATCACAAGTCACTGGTACATTCACGCATTAATACGAACTTTAGGGACTGGAGAGATGGCTCTATGATTAAGAGTTCTACTGCTCCTTGAGTGGATTAGAGTTTGCTTTCCAGCACACATGTTCAGTGACTCACAACCAACTATAAAGGTGACTTGACGAGGGGTGGTGGGTGGGGGTGTTGGCGTCCTCCTCCTGGCCTCTGCAAGCACTGCATTCATTGTGCATGCCTACACACATATGCATAAACATAATTTTAAATTTAAAATATAAAATAGATTTATCTCCTTCCGTACAGCTTCCTAGGCAAGTAGAAATACAAAGACGCTGGCCACAGATAACACTCACTGAGTACATCTTATGTCTTGCTATCCTGGGAAACTGTACACTATTCCAGGGAAACCTCACACACATCTGAGACACTGCATGTATCGTCTTATCCTTGAAAACATGGGCCTTAAGAGGGGTTGGGGACATAGTCAATGACTAAGTCACAGGCAGTATCTGAACTTGACTCTAGGGTCTTGGCATCTCATCTGCAGGGATGAGAGAAAAATGAATTCTCATATAATAAAGTGGGTATGTGGGACCCAAAGAACAGAGCAATGGATGCTGCCCAAAGACATGGAGGAAAACACCAGCAGAGTATGTCTGTGTAAACTGAATCACAGTGGAGGTGCAAAAGCCCGGGTTAGGAAGGACCAGGTGTGCCAGGCTGTGTGTGTGTGTGTGTGTGTGTGTGTGTGTGTGTGTGTGTGTGTGTAGATCTGGGTTTCGCAGCAACGTTTAACCTCAAGAATGACTGAAGACCATGCCAGCAAGAGTCTAGAATGAAGTGAAGTATTTCTATGCTTAGAGCGTGAACTGAATCTCATTTCCCTCTTGAGAAGGCACTGAGAGGTTCTGGGTAACAGAATGGCATGCTAATTTTCAAAGGAGGTTCTGGGGCCAGTGTGAGAATGAGGGTAGGGGGTCCCTAGGTGAGGTATATGGGTGAGAAGATGAGACATCAGAATGGAACATCAAAGCCAGAGACAATACCAGGTTGACTGCAAACTTCCCCCTAGGGTTGGTCCAGGGGTGGCTCACAAAGTAAAAAAGAAGGTTCCCATTCCTCCAGCCCCATGTTAGGACATGCTTGGCTTGGCTAACAACATAGCCCTGCTTTGGCTTCCACTCATCCATCCTGTAGAGGAAACAGCCTTGGTTATTACAGGCCCTGCCCTCCCCAGGTGCCACCTGAGCTGAGGCATCTCTTAAGTGCATGGATGGACACTGTCTGTACAGGGGTCAAGGGGCAGGTACGCCTATAGCATGGCCACTCTGATATCAATGAACAGTCGTAGAATGTGACAAGTTAAGGATGGACCTGTTAGTCAACTGTCAAAGGTGACTTCATGAGTTGGGCAAGTTGTCTAACTGCTTTAGGCTTCAGTTTCTAGTCTGTTAAATGGAAATGATGGCCGGGCGTGGTGGCGCACGCCTTTAATCCCAGCACTCGGGAGGCAGAGGCAGGCGGATCTCTGTGAGTTCGAGGCCAGCCTGGTCTCCAAAGCCAGTTCCAGGAAAGACGCAAAGCTACACCGTCTCGAAAACAAAACAAAACAAAACAAAAACAAAAACAAAAAAAAATAAATGGAAATGATGAAAGTTATCTACCTTGTCGAGTGGTGGAAATGGCATGAAGTAATGCATGTGCAATGCCACTCTTGGTGTGTACAGAGTCTCCACACTTAACATGCAACCCATGGATATCTCAACCAGTATTAATAATAATAAAAAAAGAGACGTCCATTTTAAGCTGGGAAAGGGGGCTGGCCAGACATGCTCTCAAGCTGGCTGCCAAATGGGAAGAAAACGGATATGATGGACCACAGCAAGGGTGCTACAGAAGTCCCAGAAGCACGGGGGCTAGGTACTTACCTCCCGTGCCGTGTGGGGACACGTGCTCACAGGACGGGGCTGTAAGCGGGGTTCATGAGTGACTGACTGCTCCTTGCTCCCTTCCTTTGACATTTCCACCTCTCCCTGGTCCTTTATGCTGTAGGGAAGCACCTGTTAGGCTCCAGTTAACCAGCTACAGGAGAGCAAAATCCACTGTGAGGTTCTTGTCAAAGAGGGGAGAAGATGGCCTCTGGATGACAGAGCCCATACCCAGCGCACGGACGTCTAGCCATTGTAGCACTGTTCTCAACCTTGTTGTTGTTTGTTTGTTTTGTTTTTTTTCATCAAAGCTTGGTCCCTAGAACCCACTGAGAGAGATATGAGATAGTCTTTGGTGTCGTCTTTAGGACCAGCTTTGAATAAACCTGTTTCCTCCTACCAGTTGTCTTTCAGATTTTCTGTAGAGCTGGCCACCAGTGGTAGGACTTCTGATTCCAGCAGGTCTTGGAGAAGGTTCCTAGCCTGGAATTGTTCCCTGCCCTGCCCCAGCCTCCCAACCTCCCCATCCAACCTGACTCTTTGTATTCTATATCACTTCCTCTCCTGAGCCTGCCCTTCCTTTCCCACTCTACCCTACCACACACACTCTCCCCCGTGGCACAACCTTGGCTCTCTCTCTCTCTGGAAGGAATATGGTTTAAGCCCAGCACTTTTACACCTTACTTGTGAAAGTCTATGGGCAGTGATAGGAGTTGGGGAGAAGTCTCTCTGACGGGGTGGAGAGCAGCAAAGCCCAGCAGGCCACTGGGCCGCTGAAGCAGAGAGGAGACAAGAGAAGCAGGAGGAGGCGATGATCTACAGCCATGCCTAGAGAGGCAGGCTGGGTGGGGGACAAGGCTGGGTGGGGCCAGCTGGGAAAGGTGGGTAAGAAAGCAGTCAGCTGGTCCTTGTGACAACCTTCCCTTGGGGCACTTTGGAACACTGTGTAGCTTAAGTTTGGACTGTTTTCATGACATGACAAGAAATTGAAAGACCATGAGAAGTGTCTGTGGCAGCCACTGTGGGAGCTGGTCAAGTAGAACTGTGTCTCTGTGCAAGGTCACAAGGCCTTCCTGGGGCAAACACTGCCCACCACCACACCTCCACTGCCCCCTTCCATCCTCCTCCGCTTTACAGTTCTTCCCAGCATTTAGTGTCCTTCAAAATCAATGGTTTAATCATTGGTTGTCAGTGTCCTGTTTGGCATTGTCTAATTTGATGTCAATTTTTAGGATCTGGGACATTTCCTGGCACACAGTATGTCCTCAGTAAATACTGGTCAAAGTGAGAGTGAGTTACTTCAGTGTCATTATTCTGAGAATCCTCTCTCAGTCCTCCTCATCCCCGAGATGCTGAGTCCTCGCTACTTTCAAGGGATAAGCCTGTCACCCTCTGCTCTAGTGAGAGTCACAGTGCTTTGTCTCTCTCTGGAGGATTTGAAACGGCCTGGTAAAGATCCTCTTCTGGGACCATGTTGGTTGTGTGCCTGGGGATGTTGCCCTTTGCCCTATTTCAAGGGCAAGCATGCATTTGGTCCCAGGAACTGAGTGACTAGGTCCCTCCTGGGTGTGAAGGGGAGGGCTGGGTTGGTCAGTCAGATTTCAACTCATTTGATCAGGACAAACCTGTGGAAGGTCTCCAGAGGTTGGAGGTTGACTTAGCATAGGAGCATTTACTAGAGAGACATGCTATGAAGACTGGGAGCTGTCGCCTCCTCCCTCTCCCTAGAGAAGCGCCCAGCTACAACAGTGTCACAGACCACGAGTGTCTTCGCTGCTCAGAGACTGAACAGCCACTGCTGCTGTGGCCAAGACCTTGTCCAGAGAGAAGCGAAAGGAAGATGCTGTTCTTTTTGATCCCCTGTGTAGGAAATGCTTTCCTCCCACACACCTCCAGACAGAAGAGCACGACGCCTTGCTTGCTAAGTACTGGTGAAACTTACTACAAGAAACCTGGGAGAGAAACGAAAACACTGTGAGCCCGCAGACAGCATGGACATAAACCAAGAATCCATATAATCCCTCTTTCATATGGAAACCAGACATTTGGGTGATACAGTCCACGATAGTCTAAATGAGCAAGTACATACAGGAATATGGTTATAAGCTGTGCATGGGTTCTGCTTATACAGTATTTCATGTTTTATGCCAGATACAGGATTTTGTAGATGACATTTTTCCTATTTAAGGTTGTTTTTAGGCCACTTCTCATTGCAAGTGTGTCATGTGCTGAATGTGGGGACCGATTTAGATGTTTCAATAACATATACCTTGTGCTTAAATGCCTGGAGGGAAAACTATCACAAGAGTCTGCTCACTGACTTCTTCTTTTCAAAGAGGGTCTCATGTAGCCCAGGCTGGCCTTAAATTCACTACATAGCTGAGGATGACCTTGACTCCTGGCTCTCCCATCTCCACGTCTCAGGTACTGGGATTATGGGTGTGAACTACCATGCCCAGTTTTTCCCTGCTACTTAATGTAGGCCCCTTCTTGGCCCTGAGCTTTCCCAAGAGCTTGGGTTAGAGAGTTACAAAATTTCCTATTAAAGGAAAAAAAGACATTTATCATCTGTGTAATGTTTTTACATACACCGCCCAGCTTTTCCTCATGGACATGACATGATCTATATCATCCCAGGCTGTGCTGTATCCAAATTTATCAAACCGTCAAACATTCCAGCCTCTGAATATATATGTACACACACACACACACACACACACACACACACACACACACACACACACACACACACGCACACACTGCTTTGTTCTTGTTTTGTTTTACTAATTCCTTTCTGAGGAATTGAGTTCATTAAGACATTTCACGCTCAGCCAGCATGTTCGATTTCTAGACAGATGCTTAAAATAAAGAGGAGGAGTTTTATCTGATACCTTTATTTATATGCAAAACAGCGCACCAGTCATGAGATATGAAAACTCGTCAGGTAGAAACCAGGTTATATCTATTTTCACTACAAAATATTGCATTATATAAAGCAACAGAGACACAAAAAAACCCTGAAAAAGACTAAAATCTTTGGATAGCAGATGTGTTTTTTTTTTTCTTTCTCCCTTGTCTCTAAAATACACTTCTTGCTTTAAAGAGTTTCACAGCTGAGAACATGAAACATTTCCAGGTCACAGACTTTTCTTTTTGGTTGTCACAGAGGAAAGTAATTCTGAATTCTTTTTTCTTTTTTTTTAGGAAAATAATGTAATTTCCTAAAATCATCCCACACACAAATGTCACACACGCACACACAAGAAGCTATTCTCCTTATAAACAGTTTGTAAAGTACTTTTCAGACGAAACTACAGGCAAGAATAACAACACTTAACTTTTTATAAAACTATAGTAGTGAAGGGCTAGTGTTGCTGATCTCACACCAAAACAACCAACTTCTTAATATATAAAATATGCTTAGAAACAAGGGGAAGTGGGGACTCTCTTATACAAGTGCAATATAATCAGAAAAAAAGAGGAAAGAACACAAGATAATCTCAACAAACACATAAAAAGTTAGACGCAATTATTTCACGGGGGAAAAGTGTAAACACTTGACTATAAATAAATTGGCACAGAGTATCCAAAGTAAAATTATCACCACTCTGAAAAATAAATGTCTTGAAAAAAATACTCTACTCCTTCTAACATAAATAAAAATAGGTTGTCTTTTTTCTAACTGCATCTATGGGTCCACATGTTAAGGTCACAATTAGATGGGGTGTTTTTGGATATTTAAAGGGGCACTTTGCCCGAAAAAGCAATCAGATGTTAAATCTTCCATTTAAATATGGATTTTTCTATCTACTTTAGTGTCCTATCTTGGGGATAAAGTCTCACCAAACTCAAATCCTCCCACAGTGTGTCTGTCTCTTCTGAATGCATCTTTTTTTTTAACAACACCAAAAATTCAGAATTTTATCTGTATTCGAATGTGATTTTTCATTTGACAAGGTAACAAAAAGTTTGCTGGGACACCTTTCTGTGTCTTAATCTCTATATGGAAGAGATTTTCATCTTTTCTTTCTCCCCAAAGGTTTGGTGATTTCTTAGTTAGAAAAATCCCGGATAGTCAGAGTCTGAAGCTATCAGCCTGGGTTAAGCATCTGCCCTCAATCTTTTAAAACATGAAGATGTATGGGATATAAATATAGGGGAACGCAGAGCCTCCAGTGGGTTACCGCAACCACCCTTAAGGGGATCGATCCTAATACACTGAGGAGAGCCCCCGGAGCAACTCACCCTAGGTGCCTCCAGAAGGTTCTTCCAGCCAGGAAAATACCCTTGCAAGCCCCAGGTCTTTCTGTCCAACCCCACCTCCCAGGCTCAGAAACATTCCTCTGTTTGCCTTGCAGGCCAGAGAGAACAGACTGCAAGCTTTTCCCCGCGTTCAGGTGTCTGTGGGCGACCCTCAGGCCTGGCAGTCCGGGTGTGTCGCCTTTGGCGGACCAGACACCGGGACCGGCGGCCTCCCGCGGCGTCCCCCTCCCTACACGTCCAGGACGTGGTTGAGATAGGAGATGTAGCAGATGGCCAGGCGCAGGATCTCGATCTTGGAGAGCTTCTTGTCCGGGGGCAGCGTGGGCAGCAGTTTGCGGAGCTCGGCGAAGGCCAGGTTGAAGGCCTCCACGCGGATGCGCTCGCGGGTGGCGTGGGCCGAGCGGTACTTGGCCGTGGCGCGCCGGCGGCGGCGCTTCTCCTCGCGGCTCAGCTGCTGCGGGTGCGGGTAGAGCGCGGCTCGGCTGCCGCCCTTGCCGTCGCCGTCGGCCTCCTCCACCGGCTCCAGGTCCGACACGCTGCCCAGCACCTTGGCGTCTGCGCCGCCCAGAGACTCCGGGTCCGAGTGCGTCGAGCTGGGGTGATCTGAGTCGGCGGCTTGGTCCGGACTCAGCATCATTTTGGAGGCTGATGGGGAGTCAGAAAGTCAGTCAATAAAAGGAATCTGACTCTTCATTTGCAATGAGGGGTGGCGGGCGAGGGCGTAGCAAGCCTGGACTCCTAGAGGGCCCGTGTCCCCGGGTCCCCCCCTCGCACCAGGCCCACTCGCGTGGGGAGGCAAGGCTGGGAGAGGAGCCGGCACCAGAGCGCATCCTGAAGCCCACACCAAAGCCTGCGGGTGGCCGAAACAGCCAATGGCCCTGAGGTTGGAGAACGATTGTGGGCCTGCGGGACCGGCTGGCGTCTTGTGCCTCCTCTGGCCCAACATCAGCTGCTCTATCCCGCCCCCTTGTTCCGTCCCCTTCCCAGACACACGAAAGATCTCGATGGATGGATGTATCTGGGTTTGAATGGAGATGCGGAGTGTGCTTCCCGCCCGAGGGCCTCGGGTAAGGCAGCTGGAGACTCCCAGCGCCTACGGGTCTGGGCTGCGGGCGAACCCCATCCCGCAACCTAGGCGGGGCACAGAAAGGCTTCCGTGCCCCCCCCCCCCCGCGTTTCTTCGAAATAATAGAGAAATGACCGAACACATGTGTTCGGTCCTTTCAAAAGAAAATTGACTCCTCGGCCCTCACACGCTCCCGGAGCACCATCTGTCACGCAGACTGCCACACACATTGGGGACCTAGGGACGTGGATCACACAATGCCCGGCAGTCTGCCGACCTCCTCCCGGGAGAACGCCGGCGGCCAGGTCGCTCTGGGCGGAGAGGCTGGGGAGGGCAGGGAAGGGATGGACTCCGAGGCGCGGGTGCGGGACGCCCCGGGTGCAAGCTGCATCTCTGCGGGTAAAGTTCGTGAGCTCCCGGGACCCGAGCCCGGCAGCGCACCGCTGGCCCCGGGAGGCCTGGCGGCGGCCCGACTCTGCGCTCGCCCTCCTGGAAAAACCACCTCCTGCCGGGCTTTCGGGCGCCTGGAGGAAGGGCCCCGGCCCCGCGCCTTCGGGAACCGCTGGACTTGTGGGGCATCGGGGGCCGGCGGGTGGAGACAGGCACCTGCCCGAGCTGAGCGCTTGGGCCTCGGCCTCCAGGAGGGACAACCTGGCTGCGACTTCTGGTCCTCGGCCTAGGCTCCGAACAGGTTGTGAGTTAGAGCTCGCTCCAGAGAAACAAAAGCCACGGGATGTGGGTTCGGCTCCTGGCCGTGTTCTCTGGCGCAGGAGCGAACTGAGCTGGGAAACAGCCATCCGTGCAAGGAAAACCGATCCTCAAAATAACAATAAATGATCCAAACGAACCGCATGCGATCCCCTACGGGCTTTTCTCTACGTTTATAAGTGAAACAACTCGCACCTACGCAGTTGGCATGAAGGGACAGAAACACACGGGGAGGGGGAAAAAATCACAACAAACCACGACATAGTTACAGATCGGACAAAAAGTTCCCAGGTTGTCCTCCACGCGTTTAAATTCTCAGGATATTTGAATAGTCATAAATAGTATTTCTCGTGGGCATTCCTGTCTATGACTATGAGTGGGGATGCATCTATAAAACGCAGTATAAATCAACTTAATTTCAAGAAAAAGAGATGCAAAGATGTCTTACCTTGCAAAAGCCCAGTCGACAATCTTTTCGCCAATCTTTTAGAGTTAAAATTCCAGGGAACAAGGAGGAGAGATTCTGGTAAATATTAAAAGCAGCCAATATTTATTACATCTACAGATGAAAAAGCGGCTGTCATCTCGCCGACTGCCACAGCGAGCGACGGTGTCTTAGGAGGTGGGTGGTATGGTTGCTCGCTTAGTTGATAGATTGAAAACGCCTGCTCCTTTTAATTGTTCTTAAACATTTCGGAAAATTCGTTGTTGATCTTTTTAAGTCGGAAGTGTTGAAGTCTCGCGCTTACCCCCTTCCTAGGGCTCTATAAATAACAAAAGAGATGCGGAGATAAACACAATCACATCAAAGGGCTGATTCCTCCACTTTCTAATAGCAGAATAATCAATAAGAAAGATGGTTAAGATAAAATTCCATTCCTTGAGGACTCCTTCCCTTCCTTTAATCGGGCTGGGGCAAACCTGGGAAGCGCAGGCAGGGATGGATGTGGTTCAGAAGTGATTTCTTTTTTTCTTCAAGATAATGCTTTGTTCAGCCGGTGTCTCCCCCGTTCCCAGGAACACAATACAGTAACTAGGGGCTAAGGTTGCCTGTCTTGGTCCTCATTGACTTATATGTTGCATACACAGACAGCTATTTCCCAGTTTCAAAGTCTTTCAAGGCTTGGTTACACCCCCTCCCTTCCCACTCCCTCCTCTCTTTACCTGGTAGTAAAAAATATATATACTCAGTAGCTTGGAGATGCTTGAGAAAGCTGGGTGAGATGCGAAGGTCTTCTAGAGTACCACTGCCCGGGAAGCAGAGAAAGGAGAGGTTGGGAGAGCCAGAGCGAAGAGGCAGCTGCCTGTGTGGCTTCTTGGCTCTTCTGGTACCAATTGATTTCGCCTGGAGATGGTGGAAGAGATAAAGGCTTAAGAAGGGGGATGGAATTTTTTTCCCCCTAAATTGATATTTAATGGGAAATCCTATTGGACAGAAATCTGGACATGAGTCACTTAATTGGACTTGACATCTGTCACAGTGTGGGAGTTTTCACAGCCCAAATATTTTAGCAGATCAGATTCCCACTGAATCTGTGCCATAAAATATAGCAGTTGAAAGCAGTCCATGATGGAAACCATAGCGTCTAAACAGTGTTTAGCCACACAGGCGATTTCTTGTTTTCAGATTATTGATGCACTATTTAAGTGCAAGTAAACACTATATGAACATGGAAAATTCCTCTGGCATTTCGTAAGCTAGCATATTTTATCGATGGTTAGGAAAACAGTTGTGGAAACATATACTATATAAGCTACTGTAATTAAGGTGAAATATTCAGATAGGCAATGCTAACATTTATTAGAGCTGACAAGTCTTTTAAAAGACACTTTAATCATGATTATGAAGAGTATTGATATTTTGGAGAAATGTTCTACTATGATACTAACTTATTAATAGATGGTTTTTAAAGATTTTTAACACATTAGCTTAAATTGTTGGTAGAATTAGGAACAGAACTCAGGTGGTTAGGGACCACTAGATAAGATGATTGTACTTTTTTAGTTACACTTCTTTTTCTCTCCACACATTTATTCATTTGTGCATTGTTTGACTTAAAATATGACAGACTCTGTGTGTGTGTGTGTGTGTGTGTGTGTGTGTGTGTGTGTGTGTGTGTGAATTATTGTATTTCATTCTTGCCCATCTTAACATGTGAGTGGATATATTTACCTGGTGGCAGTGTTTTATGCTAAGATACAAGCACTAATTATCCTAGCATGTAATGCCTTTGCCTTATATGACCTCCAGCCCTGAATTTACATGTTTTACAAAAATAAGGGAAATCTACTGCTAGTCACTATCAATTGCATATTATTTGCTATTAATTACATACTGCCACTGACACCATCAGTTATATCTTCTCCTTTCTTTCCTTCTTTCTCTCTTTTCGGTATTTTATACAAGGTCTCACTTTGCAGCCCTGGCTAGCCTAAACCATGAAGACCAGACTGCTCTCAAATTCATAGAGATATGCTTGCCTCTGCTTCCTGGATGTTGGCATTAAAGGCACGTGCCATACCCAGCTTTTTTTTTAAATTGGTCAAGCTTAAAGGAAGTGAGAGAATTATAGTTATATTCCTGCCTTCCTCTTCCTGGGGGAATGTTTGTGGAGAGGAGAGTCTTCCCTTTCTCTTCATAATCACCTTTGTCCTATAAAGAGGTATTCTCCTCAGGGGAGGGGTTTGGAGCTAACCACCTAGAGAGTGGCCCTCTGGGTTCCTCATGGCTGTGATATATACTGTTTACCTTTGTTCACATAAGCTCTGGGAGGGTCATGGGCCAGAACAGGCAGGATAGAGGGAGAGTAGGGAATCAGTCCAAGGAATATGGCACCAGTTCCGTTCAGCCACCCCTGCTCGGCCCAAGCATATCCCCAAGTGGAGGCAGAAGCCAGCCTCAAGCAGATGGCAATGGAAACAGGTGAGTAGATAAGTCCTGCCTCTGCAGGCTGGTAGGGGTGGGGAGCGAAGACATGGGGAGAAGGGAGGCTTCCCAGCCTAGCTAGCGGCAGCCAACACTAAGCACTAACAGGACAGAAGTGCACACACAGATGCGCACCTTCAGCTACCTGTGCCTCCTCGTCATCCAGCACTCGGACAAGCTGTCTGGCTCAATTAGACATTTGGGCAGATGGATTGAAAACTGGGGTGGGTTTTGTCCCCTGAGCTCTAGAAAGCACAGCTGTTAGGGTAAGTGTCCAGTGTCCCTGGTCACCCTACTGTTGGGAGCTGGATGGAGAAAGGAAGTTCAAGCCATAGCTGGCCTGATCCTGCTGTGGTGTGTGTGAATTCAGGCCAGTTCTCCTTTATAGCCAGCCCATTGATGACCTGCACATTCACAAATTAGTACATGATTAAGGCTGGGTAGAAACACTTCAGATCTGTACACAGCTATGCCTAGACACAGCATTATGGACACAGACCATAGATTCACACACACACATGCATTTTTTCTTATGGGAAAGCTCCCATCTCCCTCCCCTTTGTCTTTTCTAAGACATCCATGCACAGATGGACCCTCCTCTCAGATCCCCTTTGGAGACTATATACTATGCACTATGGTTCTTGGTTTCCATATCCATGTCTCCCACTAGGCTAGAACATTTCCAGTAAAAGTCTGTAGCTCATTTCTTCACCTCTCATATCTGACCTTGACACATTATATGTGCTCAGTTCATTTATAGGGAGTAACTTCCTGTGGACAGAGTTTCCCAAGAAACTGGTAATGAAGCCACTTCCACCCACAGATGCCCAGCCTTCCATTTTGATGATTTCTGTTCTTGAAAGTGAGGGTAATACCCACCTTTCTCCCTGCACCAGCTTGCTGTGACACTCAATGGATGTGTAAGTATCTGAAAAAACACTAAGCACCTCGCAAATTAGGGTACCCTAAAGTGTAGAAATAATATTAAATAATGTTAAAGTAAGCAGGAGATGGTAAGTGGAGATTTTAAGAGCCAGGTTTCCTGGCCATTGCAGGCTAGCTGTGTAACTTCTACTGACTAGGAGTTACTTAGCCCTTCTGGACCCCAGTTTTCTAATCTGTAAAGCGAGAATAATGAACATACAGTATGCTATGGTATAATGTTATTTTACATCTCTCTTTTTCCCAAAAAGATCAAAATAATACACATGGTGCTAGAGAGGTGACTCTGGGGTTAAAAGCATGTACTAGTCTTGCAAACGACTGGAGTTTGGTTCCCAGTCTCCATGTTGGACAGTCAATAATGACCTGAAACTCCAGTTCCAGGGCGATGAGACACCTCTGGCCTCCATATGGGCACCTGCATTCACATGCACATACCTACACACACTCAATTAAAAATAAAATAAAGCCGGGCGGTGGTGGCGCACGCCTTTAATCCCAGCACTCGGGAGGCAGAGCCAGGTGGATCTCTGTGAGTTCGAGGCCAGCCTGGACTACCAAGTGAGTTCCAGGAAAGGCGCAAAGCTACACAGAGAAACCCTGTCTCGAAAAACAAAAAAAAAAAAAAAATAAAAATAAAAAATAAAATAAATCCTTAATAAAAGATAATATATGTGAAAGACTTAAATTGTTGAATGTACTTAATAATGTTAATAGTATAAGCACATTCAATATATATATGTATATACATTGCATAGAAATACTAATATATCTGAATATACCACCAGATTGTGTGTGCGTGTGCGTGTGTGTGTGTGTGTGTGTGTGTGTGTGTCCACAGCTCGGTGGCTGACCCACAGTGAATACTGTTCCAGCATTAGACCATAGATGTAAGACTTCTCATACATTAACTTTTCCCCTCTTCACCAGACAGCTAAGAAATAGGTTCTGCTGCCATAGGATGCGGAAAAAGATGGTGATTTCCTCAAGGCCACATGGCTAGTAACTCACAGGGCTGAGATTTAGATTGGGGTTGGGGATGAGAAAGGCACTCACCACCAAGGCTGACCATCGGAGTTGGATCCCTTGAACCCATGTTGTAGAAGAGAATCAACTCCAGAAAGTTGTCTTCTGACCCCCACATGCACACCATGGCACGCAGGCATGTGTATGTACACACACACACACACACACACACACACACACACACACACACACACATGAAGTAAGTGAACAAATGTACAAATAAGACATATTCAGGTGATCTATATTCAGAAACTCGACCCTCACCCACCATGTACTGCTCCTGTGACCCTGTGCGCTGTGCCAATACCCCATGCAGGAGAATTATGCACCACATGAAGTGTGTGAGCTGTACACAAACCAAACTTAGTAACCACCCTTTGCCTATAGCTGTAATGAATAGTCCATGTGCCTTTAAATACTTCATTCATATCTATTAATATTACTGAGCCAGATAAGACACAAAGATTTAAAAATTAGTTTTACTTCTATTAGAAATCTGTCTTCAATTTATTTTCTTAAAATTTGTACAAATCTGCAAAAGGTTTGAGTGTATATAATTAGTATTTGTATATGAATCAGTAATAAACTCTATACATGTATAACATGTGATTTAATATAATTTATTTGTATTATATTTAATCACAGATGTACAAAAGACATTTTAAAAATGAGAAACAATGTAATAATATGTATGGAACAACTGATTTGATTTATAAATATGAAGACATGTGCTCAAGATATTGGTGGTACATGCTCTTGAGAGCAATGGTCTTTTCAGTCATTGTTTAACCCTTTATGATGAAGCGATTTGATGATCTGCTTTTAATCTGTTTATTGTATCCCAATCCAGTGTTTATGGTTGGCATGGGAGAGAGAAGTGTAACACAAAAGTTACCACACAAAATAATACTGCCAACTATGAGAGGTGGCTGGCAAGTCTTCTAAACTATGTGTCTATCAAATATCAAGTCTGGGGCTGGAGAGACGGCTCAGCAGTTAAGAGCGTGCAGTGCTCTTACAGAAGACCTGAGTTAAGTTCCCAGCACCCATGTTAGGCAGCTCACAACTGCCTGTGACTCCAGGAGATCTGATGCCTTCTTCTGGTCTTCTCAGGCACCTGTACTAACTTACACATACCCGTGCACAGACACACACATATACGCATAATCTAAATAGTAATTTTAAAAATCAAGTTTATATGCTATAAATGTATGTAATTTTTCTTTGTAAATGTAAAGATAGTGATAAAATGAAATTCAAACTAAAAGTCCTGCAACTGTTGAATGGATAAACCCCACGTGACATATCATACATTGGAACGTCACTTCATAATACCGTGGAACACAATTCTGGTGTGTGTTGCAGCATGGATGTGCCTCAGCAACAGGCTGAGTGAAACTAGACACAAAGACCCCATGCAGTATTAGCCCTTTCAGATGAAGTCTCCATTATAGACTGGCCCCATAGAGAAATAGAATGAAATACTGGTTGCACAGGGCAAGTGTGGGAGGCACAGGAACATAACGACTGATGAGCACATCTTCACGGGGCATGAGGAATTGCTCTACAATTTGATTTTAGTAGTGATGTCAAAACTCTCTTTAAATATGCAAAAACAGTGAGTTGTGTACATTATGGTGTTACTTATGTCTTGGTAAAACTGTTAGAAATTCAAAGGTGAGGGCTGGAGAGATGGCTCAGTGGTTAAGAACACTGGCTGCTCTTCCAGAGGACCTTGGTTCAATTCCCAGCATCCACATGGAGGCTCACAACTGTCTGTAATTCTAGTCCTAGGTGACCTGATGTCCTCTTCTAGCCCCTTTCAGTATAAGGTACACATGTGTACATAGACATACATGCAGGCAAAACATCCAAACAAAATAAAAATGAAAAAGGAAATTCAGAAGATGAAACACATCATTCTTGTATCACAGTCTACTATTTCTATATCAGTGTTTACTCTCCTGCCTATTAAATAATTCTCTTTATTGTCACTTAATTGCTTGGTTTCATATGGTGAGGATTGTATTATTATACTTTGATTTGTTTATTTGCACTTTTCTTTTCTTCAAAGGGATAAAAGAGTCTTATATTCATACAGCCGTTGAAACGCACCATCCCCATGGTCTGAACAGTGGCAGGGTGCAGCCAGCTGCAACAAGAAGACATATGCATCTTCTAGCACTTTTAGTTCTTGGGTGTAGTTCACTCCTTGCATTGGGAGGGGGAGGACAGTGATTTGCAGGAAGGTAATCACTTCTAACATTGAAAAGCTCGCTTAAAACATTCTAAAAAATTATATAGACCGATATCATGCCATTAGTAGTAATCACAGGGACAGAATTAAAACTTTTCATGGGGCTGGTGAGATTCTCAGTCGTTGAGAGTGCTTGCTGCTCTTCCTGAGAATCTGAGTTCAGCATCTAGCATGCACATCAGGTGGCCCGCAACCTCCTGTAACTTCAGTTCTAGGGGATATCATGCCCTCTTCTGGCCTCCGTGGGTATTGCAATACAGTAATGTAGATGCTCATGCACATACATACAATTGAAAATATAAATCTTTAGAAGAAAATCCTTTT